AAATGCGACAAGAACGCAACAAAAGGATTAATTTATTATTTCATCAAAAGAATGTGGTCCTTGATAATTCTCTTTCTAAGAGTTTTGTAAAATTGGAATTGCTATTAGAAAAAGAGACTAAAAAATGGTGGGAGATTACCTCCCTTGAACAGTACCTAGCATCCAATATTGTTCCTAGAGGCCTTAGAGTATTAAAAACACCTGCTTATGGCCTGGAGGACCAAATACTAATAGATGAATGGTTTAAAGCTAGTGATGAATGTTCAAAAAAATACATTCAAAGTCTGATTGATTTTCAAAAAAGATCACTAAAGCTCATAGAAGAAGAAATTCAGACTCTAGAAAGAGAAATTGTCTCACATAAAGACATTAGAGTTGTGGAGGATAATTATAAAATCCTAAAAGAAAAAATAAAAACAGTAGATGACAGGATTTCCAATATCAAAGCTAGTAAATTCAAAAGAGACCAAATTGACTATAAGGAAGGTAAAATCAGAAACTGGTCAAAAAATAAAAGGGAGAAAAAAGAACAAACTAATTCGGTACAAAGAACTGTACCACATTCTGACTCTGAGTCCCAAAGATATAGAGGTCTAGACACCAAATGGAACAGAGTTAAAAGTGACAGAATTAGACCAGATAGTATAAGTGATATGGAAGTACATCACGCACCGCACAATCTAACCAAAAATACACCTTCGGTTTTTTTAGACAGGGAGCCATCCCTAAAAAAAGAAAATACTCTAAATGTCAAGAACAGGTTTCAGATTTTAAGTTCCCCAAAAAAGAAAAGACCACATATAGAACTAGAAGAAGTGGAAGATCCGCTCCTTTCACTAACCCTCCACTCACAACAATAAAAGATACATCAGGTATTTTTAATATATCAGGTATAGAATTAACTTCACATGAATTGAATTTATTAAATAAAGGTTTAAAATTCGCACCGACCGCAGGAATAAAATCCTTTGATCTTTTTCTTGATAACCAAAAATTTCTCAAAAAATTAACTATAAAACGTTTTTTTGAAAAACGTAATGAGAATGTCCAATTAGAATCAAGGGACAATAAACAACCAATAGAATCACCAACAGAAGTTTGTCCGAATGTTTCTTCATCTTTAAAGGGAAGGTCTAATTTTTATCCCTCCCATGAAAAAGGAAGATATTTAGAAGTATTTAATGATTTGGTTCAGAATGACCTTGACAAAATTCAATGGAAACATAAAGATTCTAAATGTAATTTAACAAATAAAGAAAGACAAGCTCTAAATACATTAAAAAAGAATTATAATTTGGTTATAAAAGAGGCCGATAAAGGAGGTGGAATGGTCATCATGAGTAGGGAATATTACATGCAAGAAGCTTACCGAATTTTGGGAGATGAGTCTACATATAAAAAGCTTGCTAATGATCCCACAAAACCTTTTTTGGAAGATTTGAGATCTTTACTCCAGAAGGGTTTGGATCAAGCTATTATTTCATCAAAGGAATTTCAGTATATTTTTAATCCCTTTTGTAAAACAGCCATTTTTTACTTTCTCCCCAAAATCCACAAATGTGTAACGACCCCTCCAGGTCGACCCATTATCAGTGGAATTAACTCTTTATCGTGTAATCTCTCTGAATACGTGGATTTCTTTTTAAAACCTTATGTATCTTTGTGTCCCTCTTTTGTTAAAGACACTACTCATATTCTTCAAAGTTTACAGTCATTCATTTGGAAACCATCTTATATATTAGCTACAGTGGACGTTACCTCCCTGTACTCCAATATCCCTCATGTTAAGGGTTTGGAGGTTATCAGAGACGTTCTAGTCCTACAACATGTTTTAAACTCCACTCAGATCGATTTTTTGGTGTCCTGTATCCAATTCGTTTTGGAAAAGAATTTTTTTTGGTTTGATACTGCTTTTTTCTTGCAGCGATGTGGCGTCGCCATGGGGACAAGGTTCGCCCCAAGTTTCGCCAACTTATATGTATCCCATTGGGAAGCCTCATGCATCCAGCTGGGTCCTTGTATGGGGGGGAGCCTTGTCCTATGGCGGCGCTACATCGATGATGTACTTATTATTTGGGAAGGAGATGTCCAGAGTCTAGAAAGATTTATTGAAAGCATTAATTCTAACGACTATAATCTTAATTTTACCCATAACATTCATCCGTTTACCATAGATTTTCTGGATCTAACTTTATATATAGAAAATGACACTTTGAACACAAAAACCTTCTTTAAAAAAACTGATTGCAATACAGCAATAAAAAAGACTAGTTTACACCATCCAGTATGGCTAAACAATATCCCTAAAAGCCAAATAACCCGAATGAGAAGAAACTGTTCTAGTGTTCAAATGTTTGAAGAGCAATCAAAATTAATACAAAACAGATATGTGGAAAAGGGGTATAATATAGACCATATACAAGATGATATTGAAAAAATAAAGGACAAAGATCGTACAGAATTTTTGAAAGATAAAAATTTAAACCATAAAAATAAAAATAAAAATAACTATAGTTACAAAGATTTTGCATTTATTACCAAGTACAGTTCTGAAGCCAAGAAAATTGAAAAAATCCTTAAAAAACACTGGGCCATTTTAAAAAGAGATGATGTTTTAGGAGATAAAATTCCAGAAAGGCCTGTAGTTATATATAGGAAGGCAGACACCCTTAAAAATAAATTGGCACCTAGTTTGTTACCAAAATTGATTAAAGGTCCAAATTCGAAAAACTTTTTACAATCCACAAAAACTCCAGGTTTTCATAAATGTGGAACATGTTCCACATGTGTTTATCAAAAAAGAAAATCTACCTTTTTTGTAGGATTTTATACTAATCAAACATATACTATTAAGAAATTTATCCATTGTACATCCACATATGTGATTTACCTTTTACAATGTGGTTGCGGAGCTCAGTATGTGGGAAGAACCACCAGGACCCTACACACTAGACTCCGGGAACATTTTAATAATATTAGAAACCAAAAAACGGAACATAGTGTCCCAAATCATTGTAATTCTTGTCATCTATTTGATTGGTCTACCTTTATTGCTATTGGTATAGATCAAGTAACTCCCCATTGGAGAGGGGGAAATAGAACTAATGATCTAGCCAAAAAAGAGGCCTTTTGGATTTACACACTTAATACCCTTAAGAGAGGTCTTAATCAAGATATTGATCTGGCGGGCCTTTTGTAATTATTTATGTAACATGTTTGAATTTTTATACTTTGTTTTTTTCTTTATCTATATATATTTTTATAGGTATGGTTTTTAGATATGGATGTATATTTAGATAGGGACTTGGGTATATATATGCTCTATTCTTCTATATACATATACATGTTTATACTATGTATTTTTTAGTTTGTGTTTTATAGAGTACTTGGATGTCATCCATATTTTGATAGACATATTATTGTTTTTATATTTCTTTGTTTTGTATATTATGTAACTAGATGGTCATTGGTATTTTCTCCCTGTGTCCCACTCTGGGACGTTCGGTGCCCCAAATGCAACTTGTGCGCCTGGGTCTGTCCGTGCGTTCCACGGTGGAACGCGGAAGTGTCATGGCATAGAGCCGCACGTTATGAACGCCATGCGTTCCAACTTGGAACGCGGAAATGAATACATCTAGCCGCACGTTATGGACGCTATGCGTTCCAGCTTGGAACGCGGAAATAAAAACATCTTGTTACATCCACCGGAAGTGATCACGATGGATGTCCAATCAAAAACCGAGAAGTCCGAACCCGGAAGTGAATGAATTTTCCGCGGCAATTTCAAATGGTGAAGGCTATATAAAGAAAACAGAATTTTTAATTCTTTATCCCTGAAGAAGTCTTTCAAAAGACGAAACGCGTTGGATATTTTGCTACAGAGAGACTCCTTCTCCTGGGTACCACTTGTTAGTGGTGATATGCTGCTATGAATTTTATTTGATGTAAGTGCATTTTGTATAAATAAATTAATTTTTATCTACAATACTGCTCTATATACCTCTTTTTCTTCTGAGGATTGAGCGTCTTGAATTTGCACCTTTGGTCCGTATATACAAGCTTCCTAAGAGAAGAACCTTTTATCCACATACCCTATGGAAGGGAGACAAGTTCAGATCTACAGTTTGGTCCTGTAAGTTCTCTACCTCCGGGAGTGTATTATACATTGACTGTACATGCTTCACTATTGTGTGATTTTTCTTATATTTTAGATCTTGTGAAGGAAGTTTCTTGTATTATCTACAGGTTGTATATATTTTTTGTGCTACCCCTTTAATCTATACTAGTATTTTATACAGTATAGATTTACTTTTTTGTTCATATTATATTGGTGTATGTGAGGTACACTGTTGGGTGTTTGGCACGTTTCCTCTTGTCTTGGTTGGGAGATTATATAGTACCTCTTTCTTTTTTGCATATACATTGCATGTTCCTCACTGCTACATTAGTGTATTTCATTCTGCCATATTTGCAAACTTGATGTACATTTTTATTTTAATTAATTAACCTAATACTTTCTTAAAATACATATAAAACAATGAAAAAAACAGTTCAGACTAACATTTCATTAAAACAAACTAACATAGAACTCTATTCTTGGCTGTTCTTAATTCTGGAATCAGCCTGTGTACCTCTGTTGGCAGACATATCCATGCTCATTCCCTAAACTGATCATATCTCTTGAAGTTATCTGATTCTTATAACTTTCTGTGTTACGCTGCATTGCTTGTCTGTCTCCTAATTTCGATTTAGCTAAAATTGCTTTTATTTGTCTGATTATAAGTTTACAAGGAAAGGCTTTAATTGATTTATCTCCACATGTATTTTCTCTGTCAAAATTTTCAATCAACAAATTTAATTTCTCATTTGCTTTTGATTTGATATCTCGGATAAAATATCTGCAAGATCTTAAATAATGTTGTTTATTGCACCAAAAACAAATAACTTTGGGAGTTATATTCTGTCCTTGATTAACTCTACAATTTCTAGTTGAATAAATTGGGAGGGGCTCAGCTGTCTGTATCACTCTACACTCTGTCCTAGAAGAAGAAGAAGGAGGGGGACGGGGGCTGTAACATCTGCACTTCTTTCTCTGCCTAAAGCCACAAGTCGTTTTAACCCCTTCATTCTTGGTTTCCCTCCTTAAGTTATCCAAGAACAAAGCTACTTCTGTCAAAGTGCTTTTTTCTCTAGCTAACACAATTGCAGTTGGATCTAGATCTTGAAATGTTTTCACAAATTCATTAATTAACTGATCTTTTGTTTTTTCTTATTAACAAACAATTTCTTGTCAATTTCACTATTGGCAATTTCACATTGTGTGTATAAAGATTGCCACAAAACAGCATCTGAATAGCTGCTATTACATGCAAACTGCAATTTACTTTTCTCTGCGATATCATTTATAAATTCCACAATTCATTTGTTCCAACAAAATCTAACTTTCCTTATTCCAACATGCCAATAACCTCTTGCTTAACAACATATACAAGATTACACAAAGTTCCTAACTAGGTTATTCGTCCAGCAAATATACCTTGTTTCCCTCACATTCCTCACTGAGTTTACAAGCATTTCACCCATTCACCCCACCCCCCTGTAGCCAATACTCATAGCAGTCAGAGCAAGAGAAAGCAACAAAGAAGGAGGGGGGAGGAGGGAGGAAGACTTGCAAGCACAAAGTTTTTTAACCATGTGATTGCCTAAGCACAGCTCTCCTTAGGACAAAAGATAGAATAGGAGAGTAACGATACAAATTGTATAGATTACAATTAACATATATGGTACCCAACAAGACATACACAGACAAAAGCACAAAATACAGATGTAATTAAATCACAAAGTTCTTAAAATAAATGCCGGCTTATAATAAATCAAATCACACACACAGAAACACTCAAGCACATAAACCGCTCCTATTTAAACTCTTGACCGAGTCTTAATAAAACAAAGGAACCGCCAGGTTTTTTACCAAACGAGGCCAAAACATCACTCACTAGCTTCTTTACCAAAGCTTAGCTAAAATAATTTTTTTTTTTTATTTATTTATTTATTTATTTTTTAAATTATTTTATTTATTTATTTTTAAACTCTTGACCGAGTCTCGCAATAACTTCTTTACCGAAGCTTAGCTAAAATAAATATAGAGCCAGGGGTTTTCCACCAAACCCGAACTTGGCTAAACCTGCAAGTGCTTAACCACACTTGGCAGCATTATATAACAGTATTAAGCAAGTAGTAAAACAGATTCTCAAACAGACACTTTCACACATAAAACTCACACTCAGGACTCAGGCTGTAGATAGACAAGTGACAGGTTCTATATAAAAGGGGACATTCAGGCATATATATATTACCTGTCTGAAGACGTTAAACACCGGAAGCCGAATGTGAAGGCACGGAGAACAAGAGAAATCCAAAGAAAGGAAAATATAGGTAAGTAACTCATTTACCATATGCAGAGGTGATCAGGCTCCGTTTCCAATCTCTGGGAATCCTTTGCTCTCCTGTCTTGGGATCTGACGGCTGCCTTAGTAACGTATCCCTTAAATGCCCGCATTCTCCACCAAATTGTTTTGGATCAAAGAAAACTTTGATTATTTGTCTATCTACACCTTCCAAATTGATTAATTAATGCGTGCACGCTTTCCCTAGAAGTAATTCACACCGGAGACAAAGTTTCTGATCAGTGAAAAACCCAGGAATGCTTTATTGCCCGGAGTGGGGGCTCCTTCTTAAAGCAAAAATACGTCACAGTTTAAACATACAGTATACATTCACCAATTGGTTAACAGAGAAAGGGGCCTCTTGTTTAAACCCCCCTACAGAATGTAGTGTCATCATTACACACTTTTAGATACACGGAGAAAGGGGGAGTGAGTGGTATCTATCAGTTCTAAACCAATGATCCTCCATTTAGCTATATATGGCATATAGCTGTTAACTGGCACAAAGGGGAGGCTAGCAGGATGTGAGGAATTTACATAGTAAACAGCAGCTGACCACATTGTAGGGGGGGGGAAGGGAACATTTACTCTAGAAGCCAGTTTTAACATAGTGAACAGAGAATAAATAGACATTAGAAAATAGCCATTTTATTTTAATTCATCTGTCCATAACACCACATTGAAAACTATTGTATGATACCGTTCGAATGTCAGAAAATACTGTCTAGTTACTGATGCCAAATTGTATTTTAAGCCTATGTTTGGATCATATGTACATTTTAAATAGAAACAACAGGTGTATTTAGGTGACTCACAGTTGAAGACAACATAAAGGATTGGGATTGAAAGGTTGGACTTGATTGCCATGTAACTATATACTGAATATTGGACATAAAATCAAGACATATACAGATATTACAAAAGGAGGTAAAATATGCATAGTAGTAATGGTCCCATAGAGATGAATGAAAATAACTGTAAACATTAAGTTTATAACATGACATATTTGCTTAAGTCTCTCTAGAACTCCACAGCAGCACATTAACACAGAGAAAAAACAACCAATCAGAAAAAAATAAGGAAACCATACAAGGCCCCTCCCAACCAACTATTCCCTCTTTCTTTGCACATCAAGCACAGGTCAGAGTACCACTGCCTCCTGCTACTTTGGGTTGGTTGTGGATATTTTTGCATAGTTTGTACATTTTTTACACATATTTTACACATTTTTATACTTAGTTTATTCATAGTTCCTACATAGTTTTTTTATAGTTATTGTTTACATATTCTATATAGATTTTAGGCATGTTTATCAATGATTTCTACTTGTTTAATATCTATTTTATTAATTGTATACACATATTCACTTATTTTTTTCATGTTCCTCCTTATTGTGTTTCTTTATGTGGTATACATGCTGTGTGGGGGATTTGTGCATGGTTGTTTCCTGCTCAGGACCTTTTGTGGCCTGTCCTGCCGGCTAGGGTGCTGGGGGAGCCTGTTTCCCACCCCCTTCTCCCTGCCCGGCAGTTTACGCCACCCCCTTACCTTTTTTTTCCCCCTTGCTAGTTTGGCGGTGGCTGGGTTGCGGTCCACTGACCGCCTCCCATTGGCGACCACCGGAACCACGGAGTAAGACTGCTCTGTTTGCCTGCTCTCTCCCACCCTGCCCTCGCTCCCGCTCATGGCGTCAGATTGCCGCGGCTTGAACGGAGCGGCGTGGGCAGTAGTGGGAGAGCAAGTGGACCACGTGGGAGTGGCTGCTCCTGACCTCCCCACATTCACCCTCCCCCTACTTTGTGGTGCGCTCTGGGGGGTAGCAGCTTGTGCCGGACGCTCTTAAGAGTACAGTAACATCCTGTACCCGTTAAGGCATACACAGGGTACCCAGATGGGAGATTGGGCCGCATATTTCCCCCCTGTCACAGGCCAGTGAGCTACTTCAGTTAGTAATTCCCTGACTATGGCTTCTGCTCAAACCAAGTCACAGGTTCAGATTTGTCAACCTTCTAATTTCCTGTAATGCCCAGGTTCCTGCTCTGTCTAGCTCACTTCCTCTACTGCCATGAGTCTGGTGGTGGGGGTTGCATTTTGTCTGCACTTCCCTCTGCCGTGCAGCCTCCCCCGCTTACATATCTCAGTGAGATGGCACAACTAAACTCTGTTGTATCCTTGTGGGGTCAGAGGTTCAGACCCTGGCGGAGTTTCAGTCCTTCATCCTGCTGATGTAGCTAAATGAGTTTCATTAATTTGGGTGGTAATAACATCCCCAGAACATATTTGGACACCAGAGTAATCTGATTGTAACTATCCTGGTACAACGTTGTTATTATGGCATTATTGGTGGATTATTACCTCCATTTTTCTGCATGTCTGACATCCTACCCTCGGACACGTTCCCTGCTATATCTGACTGGCCTGCCTTGAAGGTGCCTCTATTTGGCCTGCACTGTCGGTGCCTGTGTGACTGGCCTTCTTGGCTGTGACTGGATTGGCCTGCTTTGACTGTGCCCCTTGATTGGCCTGCTTTGACTGTGCCCCCTTGATTGGCCTGCTTTGTCTGTGCCCCTTTGATTGGCCTGCTTTGTCTGTGCCCCATGATTTGGCCTGCTCTGTCTGTGCCATTCTCTATGTACGCCTGATGGCTCTATATGCCCACTTGGACACTGCATGCGCTAACTACTTGCCTCTGCCATTATTAGGGGTGCTGCCCCGTTTACATACTGGTGACACCTGTCCTATATACCCATTGGTGTCTAGTTTTAGTTTCCCAAGGGCAGACTCAGCAAGCCTTGATTATTGCGTTAGTGGCCGTCTCCGTGGACAGGACCATGACTAGGACACCCCCTCAAGTTCAACCGGAATGGGGAGCTAGGGAGACCTCCCATATGGCAGCTGATTCGGCTGAGTCGGACTCTCCTAGGAGAGAACAGATAAGTGCGCAGGGGCGCTATTGGAAGGGTGAAGGCCCTGAACTACGCTCACGGAAAGGCAAGGCTCAGGCAAAGCATCATGGCCGGGCGTCGTCGGCCTCTCCGACCAGACGCCGCCGCCTGTCAGGCGCGGGTGAGGGGACCTCTATGCCCCCCTTTATATAGCCATCCTGGATGTATGGCGGGCGTGCCTGTCCCCCTCGGAGGAGGAAATTGAGTGGGACAAGGACCTTGGTGACGACCCTGAGTGGCACCAGGAAGCGGAGGACGCCTCCACGCCTGGGGTGGCGGCTACGCCCGCGGACGAGGACACTTTCTAGGATGCCAGGGTGAATCACTGTTTGACCCTCAGGCCATTCAACGTCCCAGGTCCCCTGCAGGGTCCCTTTCCATTCATATGGCACATTTTGTACATTACTGGGTCCGCAGACCTCTGGATTGGGAGGTGCGCAGTAAACTTTGGGTTGAATGGCCCAGACCGGTATTCCAGGATAAGGTCACCACGACCCCGACCCCAGAATTTGACTTCCTGGTCTCTACATACATGACCCATGGGGGCATGACCCCAAGAGGGGTTCGAGCGCAACCTCTGTTTGACCCAGGACAATCTACTGGACATGCTTGGTCCCCTGTAAGGTGGTCAATGATGGCTGATGAGGCCCTCCCGGAAGGGGCTACCCTGGATCTTGCCACCATGCAGGACTGGGCCGCCATGCGGGACTGGGCCCAAATCAATTGGTCAAATCAATTGGGAAACACAAACGTGACCCTCTCCGTGGAATGCAGTGAGGCGGTCCCTTTGAGGATGGGCAACTTATTGTTGGACTTGGGGTCAAAGGAATTAGGCCTTTGGCTAAAGGTCTGCCATTGGGGGAACCATTCATTATAGAACAGCACAAGTGCGTGAACCTATTTACCTCCCGTGGATGAGGTGCATACCTCCATGCAAAGGGTCTTT